AGAATTTGGGGGTGGGTTTGGGGGGCGTGGGGGAGGATGGTGGAGCCGCCGGTGGCCTTAGGGCAGGGTTCAGGGGTGCTTAGGGGTTGTGGGGGCAGTTTCTGTCCAGGTTTTGGGGTGGATTTGAGATCCAGGGACTTTGCGGGCTGGTCGTGCTGGTTCCTTCAGGGTATAATGTTTTACTTGTCTCTTGCTTGAAATGCTATTTTTTTCTTGCAGAGTCGGGGTATTAATATAAAGACATAACCTTGGCAGAGGTGCTTCAACTGCTGACTTGCCTGTTGTGCTTATGACAAACTCTCCAACCAAACTGGGGTCTGGACTGTTTTGCTGTACTGCAGGCTGTGAGCTCATTTCCCAAGTGTTAGAGAAGGGAGTTGTAGCCAACTTAGCTTCAGTGTAGCCTAAGTCTGACTCTTGCTTAGCAGAAGTGCCTGAAGTAGGTGAAGCCTGCAGGCCACAGGACTGAACTGTAACCTGAAGAACACTGCTGATGGTGCGACTGCAAAATCAGCTAGAGCCAGCCTCAAGGAAACAGAACAGAGTGACCAGAATGAACAGAGGTAATGGCTGACCTTCGGATAAGATAAGGTTCTGTGGAACAGGAACATTGCAACCGTCTAGCAACCGTCCCGGGATGTAGGCGTGAACCAATCAGAGGGAAAGACACCACCGACTCGGTAAAGAAGACTGGAAGAGACTTTCACTGGCAGGCGGGGAAATAAGACTGTAAAAAGTATAATTACTTAAGAATTCTTTTGTTCTGGGTCCCTCCCTGGAGGCACCCAGCTCGACCTGTTACTGTGTCATACTGTCATTTAAATAAATAAATAATTTAGCTGTTGTACGTGCGTGAGACTCTGCTCCTCAGAAACCTAGGGTCAAACCATTTCCGCAAGTTTGGTGACTCTGGTGGGAGCCTGGGCAACCACCATCAGACCCTCCCATCTCCAAACATCCAACTGCCAGCAGCAGGTGAGTTCACCTGGGAACCTTTGGAGAAGGAGGTGCCAAAGGGTGAGCGTTACACTTCCTTGAGTAGCTCCAGTAGGTTCGAGTCCCCCAGGACGTCAGGGTGGGTTCAAGTCCCTCCCTTGTTGCAACCCCACGGCAGAGTGTGCAGCCTGATCAGTCGCATGCAAGGTTTAAGGGTGTGCAGCCTGATCAGCGTGAGGCACACGTAACCAATTGATTATAGGAAACATTGGCATTAAAAAAAAAAAAGCCCTAGGCTGAGGTTTTGGAAAATTGGAAAAAGATTGATGGTACGGTGGGTTTATCCCAGAAATACGCAATTACTTTATGTCAAGAGGACTAGCCTTTTCTAACTAGAGATGGCAGTCTGGCAGAACAGTGGCCACCGCAGAGAAAGTTCAACAATCAAAAGCTGCTTTTCTTATGATGTCACTTAAAGGACCAATTCCTGGGACAAATGGATTATTGGTATGCGTGGGATAATTAGGCGTGGGGTTGGCGACGTCCAAGGGGGAAAAACGGCACCCCGCGTGAGACTACCCTTTCTGCTACCACAAGTGCTGCTCTAAAAACACTTCAGTTGGTGTGACCAAAACTAGGTTCATAAACAGATTCTGCATAAAGTAGTAAAACGTCTTACCATTCATCAAATTAGATCCCAGTGCCGTTGTCTAAAGCACTACTGCCCATGCAGAGAGATTTTTTTTTTTTTCTCTCTCTTTTTAAGGGACATCAGTACTAAAACGGTGCAGGCCACATCCTAGAAGGCCCTCGCTGCTGACTGAAGTTACACACTCAGAATACATATGTCAAGGGGCAGGCAAACATCAAAAGTGACTTTAGCCTTGGTCTTGAAGAGGCAATGAGACGACAGTAAGTTCCAATGTCCCTTTTGGTGTTGAGAGATTCTTTTCTTTTTGATTACAGATTGCCTTCTTTTGCAGTCCTGCTGCTGCTTTGTGGAGAAAGAAATTAGGACTTTAGAACGCGTGGGCCTTTTGCTCCACTGACTTTGAGTCCTCTATTCACACTCTAATTCTTCTGCCGAACTACCCATCTAAAAGTGACATTATGACAGCAATTGTCCCTAGGTTCTGTGTAAAGCTTGTTGCAATAAGAATCTCAAGTTACTGAGGAGAAGAAAAATATTATTTGCATTTCTGAAGTAAGATGGTTACAGACTACACCAGAAATAAAATAGGTTTTGTCACAGAGACAAGTGGTCCGGTAGATATCTTGGGGCTTTATCAGACAACGCTGTACGTGTTTTGAATTGACTGTCAGTTGTTGGCCAGGCTCTGCTTAAAATTTCTTCATTTGCGTTCGACTTTTTTTTTTCCCCCCTCTCTCTTTTTTCACATGTTGGTCACTTGCATCATCTTTTTAGTATATAAAATTTGCCATAAGAATTTTGCTCCTCAAGTAACATGATTTTTTCTTTCTTCTTCTACTAGGTCTATGAAACAAACAGCATAAGCTAAACTCTCATCAGCGAGGTAGGTTGGAATAAACTTTCTTGGATGCAAATGCTTAGCTTTTCTAAGGACGCCTTTAGACACCTGGATATCACCTAGTGTTTTAGAAGCCACGTAAAGCCTTGTTCTGCCTCTGCACTCTATGCTGTTTTTCAGCAGTTCAGAGCCTTTGGGATAGAAATTCATTGGGCTTAATCTCTGTTGAGAAGGAAATTATTTGCGAATGACTTTTCAAATGGCCCATCCCTTTAGCATTGCGTTCCCTGGCAATCTTCCCTTCCAAAAGGGCCTATCTCAGCAAAGTGCTACAGAAGCGCCCTGGGAAAGTTTTGTCCCGTACTGCATGCAAGGTAGGGTCGCAAAGTGAGAATGCTGAGCAAATCAGGCTCCTCTCCCTTAGTACGTGTTCATTTGAATACCGCTTGTAAGCGCCTGTTCCATTGTTCTGGTCCTAGAAGAACTATAGCTGTTTTCACAAGAAGCAGCAACTGAAGTAATAAATCTGATACATGAGAGTTGGTTCTGCATGGGGCCAGCTCTAGTGTTTCTGAATCAGTAGCAGAGACACACAACGTGACCTGGATGAACTCAGTTCCCAGTGAGTGACAGGGGCTACATCACGACTGTCTTGGCCTGGAGAAGAGAAGGGTCAGGAGGATCTTACCAATGTGAATAAATACCTGATGAGAGACAGTAAAGAAGGCAGAGCCAGCCTCTTGTTGGCACTCAGTGATAGCGTGGAGAGGCGATGGGCACAAACTGAAATACAGGAAATTCCAAACATAATAAAACTTTTTTACTGTGACATGGGAAAGGGATGCCCAAAGAGGTGGTGGAGTCTCCATCTTTGGAGATTTTCAAAACCCCACTGGACACAGCCCCGAGCAACCTGCTTTACATGACCTGCTTTGAACGGTGGTGGGGAGGAGGGAAGGGCTGGATCAGAGACCTCCAGAGGTGCCTTCCCACTTCAGCAATTCTGTGATCTTGTTTCACTTTTAGGATTTCATAGACGTTTCAACATGAAATTGAAATAGAAGGTGTCCTTGCATTTGTGTGCATCTTTGCAATATGTAAAATGCTAACTTGAACCAGTGGAAAAAATAAGGTAAGTTTTCTTTTACTGATAACTGTATGAGGATTTTGTAGTGTAAGCTTAGGAAAGTCTTGCCGCCCTCCCATATTACCAGGGACACAAAAAAAGCATTATGATAAATGTAAAAATTTATGACCAAATAACACATTTGATGAAAGACAAAAGAATTCTGATAGACCCAGTAATTTTCTGATGGCTCTTTCCTGCAAAACAATTACTTCATTTTTCATGAAGCAATGCCATCCAGCTTCAACAGCTAAACTCGACAGGCATTTTTGCCTCCTGGGGTTTTTCAGGGGTTATTTTGACTACTGATAAAGCCAGTAGTGTTATGAAATTAAATCACATTAAATGAATTGAACAGAGAGCATAAATCCGGGCAAATTACTTCGAACAATTAGAAAACTATGGCCGTAGCGATGTCAGACAACAGTTACCATCAGAGAGCAGAAAAATATGCTATATGTAACCTCCTGTCTCTTAGCTCACATAGCTTAAGGAAGATTTTCATTCTACTGTGATATAATTTAGAAAATATTTCCTGGATCTCTGGTAGAAGAGATGCACAGCCTTCCCTGTTAAATTGCTCAAAAATGTCTGGGATGATGGGTGAGAACCCAGCTTTTCTTTTAGAAAGCCCTGAATTCCTGTTGAAGGAGAAGGTTATCACAAGAAGAGAAACATGCAGCCTTTCTTGAATTGTTTGTTTTTCAACAACTGTCATTGGAACTTAAACCTAATTCATTATATGTCTTGTGCATATTTAGAGACTTTCCTTGGCAAACTGTTGGTGCCACCTGCAATAACATCTGTGCAGTGGAAAGGCTTGAAAGAAACTATTTTTTCTGCATTTAAGCTGGAGATAACATAGAAATAGGAGAAGTTTCCACAATGAGAAAGCTCCTGTCCTCCCCTCTCCTCTTTTGACATGTTTTTCCCCTATTTTTCAGTTCTCTGATCAAGTACATTGAATATATGCTCCTAGTCACCTGCTATCTAATACTGCCAGAATAGTTTTTCCACCTATTCCTGTGTTCTCATTGTTTATTGTTGCTGACACTCACTTCCTCTGCTAAATTTGTATCCGCTTCCTCCAGTGTTTTCAGCCACACTGGTCCTCCCTTCTCTTTTGCACGCACAGGGAAAATGGATTACTATTCCAATTCTCCTATAAATAGGTCCCTCGTTTTATAACAGCAGCATCAGATGGACATAAAACCCTTGCTTAGATAGGCCTTGTCATTTTTTCCTAGAGTGACCATATTCCAATGTCTTTATAAGTGAACTTTATGCTGTATTTTCATCGCTGTTTATTTACCAAAAGGCATAATTTTTTTTCAAGTCAACTGAATCCATAGTCTGTCAGAGATTCAAAAAAAAAAAAAAAAGTCTTATCATTGTCTGTGTGTATTATTTATGCAGCCCATAATTGCCATAAATTAAACTTCTGGGCACATCAATATAGACTCTGGGAACAGCTGCCCATGATACTTGTGTTATTATTAGAAATGGCTTTTGAGCCCCTATATGTCCCCATATGATAGCTCCCTTGAATGAACAAGTGTGCACCTCCACTGTTTCTCTGAATTACCAGGGACACAGAGTCTAGTAGGTACTTTCCTGTTTGGCCCTGGACAAGTTACCAAACCTACCTCAATGTTTCCCTTGCCTGATGGGGGGAAAAACATATGCAACAGGACAGGCCCAAGCTTCCAAGAGGAAAGGTGAAAAGTCCCCATCTTACACATAATATCAGAATAATCTTTCCCAAAGCTGTATTGGTGGACACACGTGTCGGGCCCTACAGAGGAAAAAGCTTATGGACTTAACCAAATGCTTTCAATAAACTCTCAGCTCCATCCCCCAATAAGCAATATTTCTAGACTGGCAGTCAGAGAAGATAAATCTCCTTTATGATAGGATTTCTCATTTTGATCACCAGGAAGTAAATATTGAAGACAAAAACAAAGCCTTCTTTGAGGATAATATGGAGAGTGCCCATTCATGGCAGAAAGAGAAAAGGAATCAGATAGCGCGACCTTTCACAAGCATGCAACTATTCCTGAATAGCTGTGCAAGAACAATTTTCTGAAACAGTATCCATAGCACATTCCCTGCACACAGTCTGTTCAGAAGTCTTTGCTTTGCCAGTCAAATTTGAAGTGGCAATTATCTGGGTTGTTTAAGAGTAAATATACGCTTGTGACACATCCAGATATCACAGACTGCATTCAAACATCTCTCATACAAAAACACTCTTGAGTTGTATGGGGCACTCTCAGGCACAGAAATTCTTTAGTTCTTAAAGGTCAGTATTGACAGCTACATTTCACTGTTGTGCACTGAGGATTCGTTTCCATGCAAAGTTTTTGTGCTGTTGGAGAGACCTGTACAGAACAGTTCTTCCAGCTATAAAAGCAGTAGTTCTAACTTAATAGCCTCTGTCTGCTCAAAAGGTATAAGGTATAGAGTGTGTGTGTGTATAAAATATACCTATACATACATACACATATATACATATATACAAACACATAACATACTTATATAAAAGAGGTATAAGGTAACTTTTAAAGGTTTCTTACCGCTCCATTTTCCTGTGATTCTGTGATTGTTTCCTTTTTCCATTGAGTCCCTTGAATTGAACGCTATAAAAATGGTGATAACACGCTTGCCACATTATTTTCCATTTTACTGTTGAGTTCTATTCTAAAAATGAAACATAGTTTCAATTTTTTAGCAGATGTATTCTGTTATAGTTCCTTTCCAATCATGACAGCAGTCCTAGATATCATACATTGCTTCACATAACACTTGAACCCTAGACACAATAATCAATTGTATTAGAGACAGAATGAATCAGCACAATGAAACACATAGCTAATGAATATTCCATGCACATAGAGATCGCTTTTCTTATTTTCAAACTGTGGGCCAGATCAAAGATTTATCATCCTAAGAAGACTAAATCTAATGCAGACAAGTTCTGTGGTGCATTTTACCTTGTCCCTTAAGAGGGGCTCACCGCCTCTTGTTCCCCTCCTCTCTTTGCCTCCACATTTACAAATTGATGATGATTGATGAATTGATGACGACTGGTGATTCCTAGACGTTTAAAAAAATTTACTTATTAACTTATTAAAATATTTTGACTCGCCCCTTTTTCAGATGCCCCCTTCCCTTCACCAAGCAGGCACAGGGAGTGAAGAACTCAGGCTACAAAAAGAGCAGACTTAGGGTCCTGAATAGATTAGGAGTATGTACATTTACAGATGTAAAGGAGCACAGCTGGTTTCTGGAGTGCATAGTTCCCATTGGTAAGGCTGTTCCTTTCTTGACGGAATGCTCTTGTAGCTTTGAGCTCTAGCAAACAGGAAATTATAGAAAGCGAATCGGACAAATAGTTTAACTCCTAATTCACAGGCTCTAGAATTATCTAGATCTTTGAGTTCCTCACAAACCAGCCAAAACAAGTTTGGTGAGACAGTGCATTATGTGTCCAAACTGGAAATGAAGGACCCTCATCATTTAAAAAAAAAAAATAAATCAATCAAGCAGTGATACTGCATCTTTTCCACAAGTTCTATTATTTCAGAGTCAGATGCAGGAGGATAATTTGTCAAGGCACGTGGTAGAAAGGTTAGGGTCCCCTAACAGTTAAGAGGTATGTGGGCAACTGTTTGAAGTTTGGCAGTTGTACAGACAACTATTGGGCAGTGGACAACGAACAGGAAGACGATCTCACACATCTCACACTGGTCCAGGTGAACGAAGGAAAACACTGAACTGAATTCATCTCTGACGTGGATAGGCATACCTTTACAGAGATCAGTGAAGCAACAAAATAGTTGAGTCCTCTTTGTTGTAAGCCAAATTGATTGTGCTTAACAGCAATCACTGTCATTATCTTCCATGAATTGGCCTAACCCTTCATTGTACCAATTTATCCTTTTTTCTTTCCCTCTGGCAATGGACTACATATTATACTTCCATTTGCTTGTTTTAATCACCTACCTTATCATTTAGTTGGGAGCCTATATTTCTTGCATTTTGAGACATACTCCCCACTAACCTTCTCAGTGTTCACTAGACTTAACCAGTCCCTCTCATACCTCCAATCATCCCTGTCATCGTCCTGTACAGCTTTCCTAGCGCTAAAGTATTACTTTTAAGATAGGCCACCCACTATTATTACACACAGTGTTCAAGAGATGGACAAAAGAGGAACTTTTACAGGGCCATAATCTTTTCAATTTTTTTCTACATTCTTTTATAATGCCTAATCTGCTCATTGCCCTTTTGGACCATAGCTGAGCAGTGAGCCAATGTTCAGAAAAAATATAGGAGAAAGTGGAGAATGAGGTCAGAGGAGGATGTAAATTGAGCTGAAAACACTTCCACACCAGGGCTCTGGAAAAATGGTCAGGTTTTCCCACAGTCCTCCACAAAACAAGTACTAAAATAGCTCATACTGATGAATTCTGGAAGAGGGCTGACATAAGTTCTCCTGTATTGTTTTGGAAACCTGAGTCACCAATCCGAGTTAACGCAGCACCAGTGCTGATGTGTGCCTGTATCAAACAGTCATAGGCAGATCTGCATGCGGACCTGAGCAGGTGAGCTTTGCAAGCCAGATCACCACCGCCCTTGTACATTTTTTGTTGAGCTACCACTATGTTGTTCTAACAGTAGATACCATTGTTGTCTTTATAAATATCCAAAGCCTAAAGTTTAGAAAAGGACCAATGGTACTTTGTAGCTTGTCTTCCTTGGGATACATTGGCTTGAATGGACCTTCCCACTGGCACAGACCAATCCTACATCAACCTATTCTTGATCTAGTTAGTCTGCATCAAGAGTAAAAGCGCAGCCAAGTGGTTTTTTTTAAATCGATACAAGGTATTTGTTTTCCATCTGCCTACGTTGAGCTGCGTATTCTAAAATACAAAAATCATTCTATTGTAGCATTTCAAAGGTGTAATTCCCTGCTGGAAAACAACTGATGACCCAAAGCAAAGACAAAAGGCAGCCTTGTGAAAAAGTCTTGAGAATATCACGTAACATCCTACTGCCCAAGGCGCTCACACACGTTATAGCATCAATTTAAGTTAACTTGAAAGAGCGTAAAGGATATTTTTATCTTTACTTCGTTCTGTAGGAGTGAATGCCACTATATATATTTAAATAATGAGTTTATTCCTTCAAAAATAAGTTCCACATCCACAAAGATAAATTAAAGTGATCTTAGCAAGCCAATGTACACACCTTTGCTCGAATGCTGCTTTGGCATATCGCGATAAGGCAAAGCTCATGTACAACCAGCACCAGTAAACTTTGTTGCTGTGGCGCTTGCCTCTTTCTCCAAGAGAGGTGCTTCTGTGTTCCTCCCTCTCCTGAAAATAACACACATACACACGCACAAAGAATAGATAAGCTTATGGAAGATGGAAAATACCTCATTGCTTTGTTTGCTTTCATTTGTGATGTCATGTACTTCAAAACACATGCAAATATGATTTGCTTCAGGGAACTGCTGTCTATTATTGGTTATCACAGCAAATACACTCAGAAGAGCAATGAAAGAAGCTTAATCGTTTCCATTCTCACACGTTTACTCTTTTATTTCAAAGATCCTTACGCATGGAACATCGTATTTAAAATGCTTTAGATATAAGTGACCAACCGGGAATGACTTTTTCCTTCTCCTGAGCGTCATCCACAAAGACAATACAACAACTTTCTTCCCTCATTGATAACTGAGATGAACATTTAGGAGATGTGTATCCAAAATATTCCTGTATAGGAAAACAACTTTGTCACTGAGGTAATGAGATGTCATACGTTAACTCTTTGCAACAGTTCCTGAAAATGAACCTATTAATTAACTGTTCCTGTTTGTCACACTGACCAACCACATAGCGCCCAGATTTCAATTTGCTGAAAACCTTGCACTGTGTTATACAGAAATTAAAGTACTACTAAAGCTTGCAAGAGCAGAAGATAACCTGTGTATCGATGCAATGACCACTGAGTCATGGTGCAAGAAACTTCTGGATTCTAGTCCCCAATCTGTTTGTTTTAAAATACACACACACACACACACACACACACAGGGGTGAGCACACATAATGAGTAGAAAAACCCTTGTTGCAAAGCCTTGCCAAGCCACTGCTAAAATACGTAAGAGAGAAACACTGAGAAACTTCCCTTGTGAAGTAAGTACAGCAAGTCAACTTCCCACTGCTTTTAATTTTTAAACTTAGTGTGCTTATATAAACTATTAAAATCCCCTATCGCTTTCTTGGTAATAACCCCAGGACATTTTTCTAGCTGTTGCACAAAAAACAAACAAACAAAGAAACAAAAAACCCCAAACCTTGTCTCTTTCTGTAGATTATGCCATTATACTAAACTGGCACTGATGAAAAACAGGACCAGAGCTACTCAATACATTTAGTGCATGACAGCGGATCTGTTTTTTGTTGTTGTTGTTGTTGTTGTTGTTGTTGTTGTTTTTAAATGAGGCACTGCAAGCAAGGACCAATTCATATTAGTCCAGCTCATCAAAAATCTGGACACAACCAGATCTCTGACATCATTACAGCACTCACAGTGTTATAAGGTCACTGAACAGAGCTAAAAAGCAACTGGACTTTGGCACATGCTACTGAGAGTGTGCACTGATAAACTATCCCGCATCCTTTGGAAACTGCGCTTGTAAAAAATGTATTTATCAGAATTTCTCATAAAGGGATGATGACAAAGGAGCAACATACTGCATCACTGGCAGAGTAAAGCTTGAGCACCCTAACAAAAAAGCTGCTCTTTTCATTACAAGTTTTGTAGAAAGACAGTTGAAGATAAACCCTTAATTTATGCATACCTCAGAATACAAAGATTAGCATGCTGGTAATCCCAAATTATTGATTAAAATTAACCAGACCAGGAGGTTTTTCAGGAGGTCAGCCTGGCTGTGGCAGATCACATCAGCACCAGCAAACAGTAAATACAAGGACAAACCGCTCTTTCCTTCAAACGATTTCAGCAGATTTCAAAGATTTCTAGCAAGCGCTGAGTTTGTTAGAAATGTGTTTTTAACAAACAGCCACAAGCAGCCAGCCAACTCAGGTAAAATAGTATTTAAGAGTATAATAAAAGAACTAGCTAGTCATCAAGCACTAACCTGTCCTAAATTGCAATTATCTTACATTCTGTTAACATGCAGAACCAAAATCTGATTACACACCGGCATTAGCACCGTCTCTGGAAAAACTTGTCTCATATGCGCTATGGTGACCTGCTTTTATAGAAAACTTTTTTGGAGGAGGTCGTATCTAATCTATAGCCTGTCAACAGTAAATCAAATCCTGACTTAAAAGTATGGGTTTTGCTTATAGTTCGACATAAGCATGCTGTCATTTTTAAAGGTTCGCAATGACTTTTATTTTAATATCAGCAGGGTAAGCTAACTAGGACACTGACCAGATTCCTCTAGAATCCATACTTGTATTGTGCTTATCACACACACAGGGAGTTCCAGATTTTGTTTCTGGACCTTACACTGCAACTAACCTGTAGCACAACCTATGGTAGCAAAGAAGTCAATGCAAACTTGTGCTACCGTTTGTCAATTCCATGTTACTGTCATTGCGGGCAACACAGTACTCCATCAAAGGACAGCCTTACCCAGATGCACATAGTCTGGAGCAAGAACACACAAAGCAGCTGCACAATTTATGAGAAATTTACAGAAAAGAGAAACAATATGCCTCCTGACCACTGATCCATACTTAGCATATACACCTTGAATCCAGACGGATCTCATATACAGTCTAGATAATGCCTCTTTCATAAAATAGTCCTTACATTTGAGCATACTAACACAAAAGCTTGCTCTTGCCCTGCTCCTTATTGCCTATGCTTAGAGCTAGCACTCGGTCCAACTGCCTCCCAAGTTCAGAAGTCTCCTTACTACATCGCTCACCCATAATTCACCCACTACCTCTTCTAATATTACTAGAGTTCTCACACCTGTCTGCTGCAATTTAACCTTCCAGACACACAGTCCAGCAGGAAGACCTGCTGCCCAAGCAGCTAGAAACAAAGCTGGTTTCCTATCCCAGAAACAGCTCTGGGATAACAGAAACATTGCTTTAAAAATGCACTGCGGCTTGTACCTTCTCTGGAGCATGGTTGCCTTCTGAATTCCAATCTGAATTCATACATTCTCTTATCTAGAGTGATTTATAATTAAAGTAAGAAAGTTAAGATCTAACACTGTTTCAGTTCACTCAAAAGGCATTAGTTTTGGATCCTCAGAACATAACTATCTGAAAACTTATTAGAAAACTGAGAATGGTAAAAGGAAGTAGCTGGCAAAATAGTTTCAAGCGGCCTAGAATTTTTCATGGCAATTAGCTCAGTTCATAGACCTCAAAAATATAAACAAGTCTCATTAAGTACAGATGAATGACATTTTTCTACATTCATAAAACTATAGATCAGCATTTGTAAGAGTTCATGCAGGCATCTACCCCTCATCCTAATTAGCCATGGGAGTTTAAAACCAAAAGGCCGGGGGGAGAGAATTTATTGTTGATTTGTCAATTATGTCCTTTTCTATTAGACTGAAAGCATATAGGCTTTGAAATACATAATCCTAATGCCAGCTTCTGCAGTTCAAAAAAAAAGGCCTAGGCTAGCAACAAAATCAGTGTATCTTCTTCAATGCCTCTTGATTTTTTTCCTCCCCAGTTTAAAGGATGTAGCCTGAGGCCACAGCGATGACAGTGACCCATAACCCAACACTGACAACAAACCGAGCACAGAATTCCAGTAGTAACTAACTCCAAAGAAAGAAAAACTGTAGGCATACATGCGATACATTGGGATAATAGCTCTACCTCATGAGTTTCTTGCTGTACCTTTTGTTAAGACCTTTTGCAGATAACTGAAACCTTAAGCAAAAGTTTACTTCAGGTTTTTCCTGACTCACACGTGGTTTATTATAACATATGTGAAAACAGTTGTCTACTTACCTCTGAGAAAGCTTTCTAACTGCCCTTCGCTCAAGAGAACGGTTCTCTGGGGGCCACATGACTCTCAGGCTGAGTCTTGGCTGATTACAAAAGGCCGCACATGCGCACCATGAGACCTGCTGCTAAACGGCAGCTTCTCTGGGGAGAAGAGAGCGCGAAGAGCCATTTTGTATTTCGGCAAGCTCATCCATCAGCACGATGATGTTTAGTTTTTGTATCTAGAATAGTATTTGGGTGTGCAGGGCTCAGACTGCAAGCTTTCTATCTCCATAGGATTGAAAGACTTTACAACTATCCTGAGAGGAAATTGGAGATAACTTGGCCCTGTACTGCAGTAGCCACACATCATTGCTTTTTTGCTGCTGGACCAAGTTCAAAGAGACAAACTGCTCTGCGCAACTACTGGAGGACAGAAAGCACAACAGTAGAAGATAATTACATAGTGCTGGTAATTCAAACAAAAATTGAATGAGCACAATGAAAACACTGAGACCTCCAACGCTGTAGAAAGATTAAAAATTAAGTATGTTTTGAGTAAAACTAGATGTGCCTTGAGTGTGACCATGTCTTGCAACAAACCAGTGCAGCAATCCCCAGTGCAGTACACAATAGGTGTGAATCATATCAGTGTGGCACTGTGCACAAATTCATTATGGCTGAGCTGCTTTTAAAATGTGTTCTGATGGAGATACCGTGGGCACAAGTTGTCACAAGTGTGTTTATAGCTCAGGCCTCTCTAACACAAGGCTGCGCTTGAACTGCCAGCTCTTCTAGTTTGGCTGAACTGTGGCAAAAAGAATGGAGAGGCACAAGAATTGTTTAGAAATAAATTTTATAAAAGGGGAAACTGGGAACAGCTAAACAAATTAAGAAGTATTAAAGAAAAGGAAAATAAATGAGACCTAACTGAGTGTTCACCAGCTTTTAAAGGAAGTTATGGAAACACGTGCTTGACAAAACGCTCAAATGTTACATGGAGAATATACGATTTGAAAGGATGACCAGGCAGGTCTGCATGATTTCCAGGAATTTGGGCCAAGAGAAAGGGTGACATACAGTATATGAATGAGTACAAGAGAGCTTGATCAGAATTTCAGGCTCGTATTTTTTTTGAACACTTGCTGTTCTCCATTCAGATCTGGAAAGTTACAAAATGACATATTTCTGGATGGATTTTTTTTTATGTTGTGTTTCTTTCATCCTAGGATCTGTGCCCTACTGGTTCTGAGAAACTTGTGACCTCTGCATTTTTAATTAGAGCTTGTAATTTTTTCCATGGCAACCTGTTTTGATGTTGCACATACGGAATCTGTCAAATTAAACAACTTCCAAGTGCAAAGCTGAGGACTTCTGGT